TAAAGGCATATGCCTGCAGAATTAACTTAGATGCTATGGAATTAAAGGCATATGCCTGCAGAATTAACTTAGATGCAATGCAATTAAAGGCATATGCCTGCAGAATTAACTTAGATGCTATGCAATTAAAGGCATATGCCTGCAGAATTAACTTAGATGCAATGCAATTAAAGGCATATGCCTTCAGAATTAACTTAGATGCAATGCAATTAAAGGCATATGCCTTCAGAATTAACTTAGATGCAATGGAATTAAAGGCATATGCCTTCAGAATTAACTTAGATGCAATGCAATTAAAGGCATATGCCTTCAGAATTAACTTAGATGCTATGCAATTAAAGGCATATGCCTGCAGAATTAACTTAGATGCTATGGAATTAAAGGCATATGCCTTCAGAATTAACTTAGATGCTATGCAATTAAAGGCATATGCCTTCAGAATTAACTTAGATGCAATGCAATTAAAGGCATATGCCTTCAGAATTAACTTAGATGCAATGCAATTAAAGGCATATGCCTGCAGAATTAACTTAGATGCTATGCAATTAAAGGCATATGCCTGCAGAATTAACTTAGATGCTATGGAATTAAAGGCATATGCCTTCAGAATTAACTTAGATGCAATGCAATTAAAGGCATATGCCTTCAGAATTAACTTAGATGCTATGGAATTAAAGGCATATGCCTTCAGAATTAACTTAGATGCTATGGAATTAAAGGCATATGCCTTCAGAATTAACTTAGATGCAATGCAATTAAAGGCATATGCCTTCAGAATTAACTTAGATGCTATGCAATTAAAGGCATATGCCTGCAGAATTAACTTAGATGCTATGGAATTAAAGGCATATGCCTTCAGAATTAACTTAGATGCTATGGAATTAAAGGCATATGCCTTCAGAATTAACTTAGATGCTATGCAATTAAAGGCATATGCCTGCAGAATTAACTTAGATGCAATGCAATTAAAGGCATATGCCTTCAGAATTAACTTAGATGCTATGCAATTAAAGGCATATGCCTTCAGAATTAACTTAGATGCAATGCAATTAAAGGCATATGCCTTCAGAATTAACTTAGATGCTATGGAATTAAAGGCATATGCCTTCAGAATTAACTTAGATGCAATGCAATTAAAGGCATATGCCTGCAGAATTAACTTAGATGCTATGGCAATTAAAGGCATATGCCTTCAGAATTAACTTAGATGCTATGCAATTAAAGGCATATGCCTTCAGAATTAACTTAGATGCAATGGAATTAAAGGCATATGCCTGCAGAATTAACTTAGATGCAATGCAATTAAAGGCATATGCCTTCAGAATTAACTTAGATGCAATGCAATTAAAGGCATATGCCTTCAGAATTAACTTAGATGCAATGGAATTAAAGGCATATGCCTTCAGAATTAACTTAGATGCTATGCAATTAAAGGCATATGCCTTCAGAATTAACTTAGATGCTATGGAATTAAAGGCATATGCCTTCAGAATTAACTTAGATGCAATGCAATTAAAGGCATATGCCTTCAGAATTAACTTAGATGCTATGGAATTAAAGGCATATGCCTTCAGAATTAACTTAGATGCTATGGAATTAAAGGCATATGCCTGCAGAATTAACTTAGATGCAATGCAATTAAAGGCATATGCCTTCAGAATTAACTTAGATGCAATGCAATTAAAGGCATATGCCTTCAGAATTAACTTAGATGCTATGGAATTAAAGGCATATGCCTGCAGAATTAACTTAGATGCAATGCAATTAAAGGCATATGCCTTCAGAATTAACTTAGATGCTATGGAATTAAAGGCATATGCCTGCAGAATTAACTTAGATGCTATGGAATTAAAGGCATATGCCTGCAGAATTAACTTAGATGCAATGCAATTAAAGGCATATGCCTTCAGAATTAACTTAGATGCTATGCAATTAAAGGCATATGCCTGCAGAATTAACTTAGATGCTATGGAATTAAAGGCATATGCCTTCAGAATTAACTTAGATGCTATGGAATTAAAGGCATATGCCTTCAGAATTAACTTAGATGCTATGGAATTAAAGGCATATGCCTTCAGAATTAACTTAGATGCAATGCAATTAAAGGCATATGCCTTCAGAATTAACTTAGATGCTATGGAATTAAAGGCATATGCCTGCAGAATTAACTTAGATGCTATGGAATTAAAGGCATATGCCTTCAGAATTAACTTAGATGCTATGGAATTAAAGGCATATGCCTGCAGAATTAACTTAGATGCTATGGAATTAAAGGCATATGCCTTCAGAATTAACTTAGATGCTATGCAATTAAAGGCATATGCCTTCAGAATTAACTTAGATGCAATGCAATTAAAGGCATATGCCTGCAGAATTAACTTAGATGCTATGGAATTAAAGGCATATGCCTTCAGAATTAACTTAGATGCTATGGAATTAAAGGCATATGCCTTCAGAATTAACTTAGATGCTATGGAATTAAAGGCATATGCCTTCAGAATTAACTTAGATGCTATGGAATTAAAGGCATATGCCTTCAGAATTAACTTAGATGCTATGGAATTAAAGGCATATGCCTTCAGAATTAACTTAGATGCAATGCAATTAAAGGCATATGCCTTCAGAATTAACTTAGATGCTATGGAATTAAAGGCATATGCCTTCAGAATTAACTTAGATGCTATGCAATTAAAGGCATATGCCTTCAGAATTAACTTAGATGCAATGCAATTAAAGGCATATGCCTTCAGAATTAACTTAGATGCTATGGAATTAAAGGCATATGCCTGCAGAATTAACTTAGATGCAATGCAATTAAAGGCATATGCCTGCAGAATTAACTTAGATGCAATGCAATTAAAGGCATATGCCTTCAGAATTAACTTAGATGCAATGCAATTAAAGGCATATGCCTTCAGAATTAACTTAGATGCAATGCAATTAAAGGCATATGCCTTCAGAATTAACTTAGATGCTATGGAATTAAAGGCATATGCCTTCAGAATTAACTTAGATGCTATGGAATTAAAGGCATATGCCTGCAGAATTAACTTAGATGCTATGGAATTAAAGGCATATGCCTTCAGAATTAACTTAGATGCAATGCAATTAAAGGCATATGCCTTCAGAATTAACTTAGATGCTATGCAATTAAAGGCATATGCCTTCAGAATTAACTTAGATGCAATGCAATTAAAGGCATATGCCTTCAGAATTAACTTAGATGCAATGCAATTAAAGGCATATGCCTTCAGAATTAACTTAGATGCTATGGAATTAAAGGCATATGCCTTCAGAATTAACTTAGATGCAATGCAATTAAAGGCATATGCCTGCAGAATTAACTTAGATGCAATGCAATTAAAGGCATATGCCTTCAGAATTAACTTAGATGCTATGGAATTAAAGGCATATGCCTGCAGAATTAACTTAGATGCAATGCAATTAAAGGCATATGCCTGCAGAATTAACTTAGATGCTATGCAATTAAAGGCATATGCCTTCAGAATTAACTTAGATGCTATGCAATTAAAGGCATATGCCTTCAGAATTAACTTAGATGCTATGGAATTAAAGGCATATGCCTTCAGAATTAACTTAGATGCTATGGAATTAAAGGCATATGCCTGCAGAATTAACTTAGATGCAATGCAATTAAAGGCATATGCCTTCAGAATTAACTTAGATGCAATGCAATTAAAGGCATATGCCTTCAGAATTAACTTAGATGCTATGCAATTAAAGGCATATGCCTGCAGAATTAACTTAGATGCTATGGAATTAAAGGCATATGCCTGCATAATTAACTTAGATGCAATGCAATTAAAGGCATATGCCTGCAGAATTAACTTAGATGCAATGCAATTAAAGGCATATGCCTGCATAATGAACTTAGATGCTATGCAATTAAAGGCATATGCCTGCAGAATTAACTTAGATGCTATGGAATTAAAGGCATATGCCTGCAGAATTAACTTAGATGCTATGCAATTAAAGGCATATGCCTGCAGAATTAACTTAGATGCTATGCAATTAAAGGCATATGCCTGCAGAATTAACTTAGATGCTATGCAATTAAAGGCATATGCCTTCAGAATTAACTTAGATGCAATGCAATTAAAGGCATATGCCTTCAGAATTAACTTAGATGCTATGGAATTAAAGGCATATGCCTTCAGAATTAACTTAGATGCTATGCAATTAAAGGCATATGCCTGCAGAATTAACTTAGATGCTATGGAATTAAAGGCATATGCCTTCAGAATTAACTTAGATGCAATGCAATTAAAGGCATATGCCTGCAGAATTAACTTAGATGCTATGCAATTAAAGGCATATGCCTGCAGAATTAACTTAGATGCAATGCAATTAAAGGCATATGCCTTCAGAATTAACTTAGATGCTATGGAATTAAAGGCATATGCCTGCAGAATTAACTTAGATGCTATGGAATTAAAGGCATATGCCTTCAGAATTAACTTAGATGCTATGGAATTAAAGGCATATGCCTTCAGAATTAACTTAGATGCTATGGAATTAAAGGCATATGCCTGCAGAATTAACTTAGATGCTATGCAATTAAAGGCATATGCCTTCAGAATTAACTTAGATGCTATGGAATTAAAGGCATATGCCTGCAGAATTAACTTAGATGCTATGCAATTAAAGGCATATGCCTTCAGAATTAACTTAGATGCTATGGAATTAAAGGCATATGCCTTCAGAATTAACTTAGATGCTATGGAATTAAAGGCATATGCCTTCAGAATTAACTTAGATGCAATGCAATTAAAGGCATATGCCTTCAGAATTAACTTAGATGCTATGAATTAAAGGCATATGCCTTCAGAATTAACTTAGATGCAATGCAATTAAAGGCATATGCCTGCAGAATAAACTTAGATGCAATGCAATTAAAGGCATATGCCTTCAGAATTAACTTAGATGCAATGCAATTAAAGGCATATGCCTGCAGAATTAACTTAGATGCAATGCAATTAAAGGCATATGCCTTCAGAATTAACTTAGGTGCTATGGAATTAAAGGCATATGCCTGCAGAATTAACTTAGATGCTATGCAATTAAAGGCATATGCCTTCAGAATTAACTTAGATGCAATGCAATTAAAGGCATATGCCTTCAGAATTAACTTAGATGCAATGCAATTAAAGGCATATGCCTGCAGAATTAACTTAGATGCTATGGAATTAAAGGCATATGCCTGCAGAATTAACTTAGATGCAATGCAATTAAAGGCATATGCCTGCAGAATTAACTTAGATGCAATGCAATTAAAGGCATATGCCTGCAGAATTAACTTAGATGCTATGGAATTAAAGGCATATGCCTTCAGAATTAACTTAGATGCTATGGAATTAAAGGCATATGCCTGCAGAATTAACTTAGATGCTATGCAATTAAAGGCATATGCCTTCAGAATTAACTTAGATGCAACGCAATTAAAGGCATATGCCTGCAGAATTAACTTAAATGCTATAGCAATTAAAGGCATATGCCTGCAGAATTAACTTAGATGCAATGCAATTAAAGGCATATGCCTGCAGAATTAACTTAGATGCAATGCAATTAAAGGCATATGCCTGCAGAATTAACTTAGATGCTATGGAATTAAAGGCATATGCCTGCAGAATTAACTTAGATGCAATGCAATTAAAGGCATATGCCTGCAGAATTAACTTAGATGCTATGCAATTAAAGGCATATGCCTGCAGAATTAACTTAGATGCTATGGAATTAAAGGCATATGCCTGCAGAATTAACTTAGATGCTATGCAATTAAAGGCATATGCCTGCAGAATTAACTTAGATGCAATGCAATTAAAGGCATATGCCTGCAGAATTAACTTAGATGCAATGCAATTAAAGGCATATGCCTGCAGAATTAACTTAGGTGCAATGGAAATTAAGGCATATGCCTGCAGAATTAACTTAGATACAATGCAATTAAAGGCATATGCCTGCAGAATTAACTTAGATGCAATGCAATTAAAGGCATATGCCTGCATAATTAACTTAGATGCTATGGAATTAAAGGCATATGCCTTCAGAATTAACTTAGATGCTATGCAATTAAAGGCATATGCCTGCAGAATTAACTTAGATGCTGTGTAATTAAAGGCATATGCCTGCAGAATTAACTTAGATGCTATGGAATTAAAGGCATATCCCTTCAGAATTAACTTAGATGCTATGGAATTAAAGGCATATGCCTTCCGAATTAAGTTAGGTTTTAAGGAATTAAGGCATATACCTTCAGAATTAACTCAGATCCTATATAATGAAAGCATATGCCTTTAGAATTAAGTTCAACCCTACGGAATTAAGGCATATGCCTTGAGAATTAAGTTAGATATCCTGGAATTAAGGCATATACCTTCAGAATTAACTTAGATCATATGGAATTAAGGCATTTGTCGTCTGAATTAACTTAGATGCTATGCAATTAAGGCACTTAACTTCAGAATTAGCTTAAATCTTACGGAATTGGGGCACAGAGCTTCGAAATCAACTTTCGTTCTATGGAATTAAGGCTCACAACTTCAGAATTAAGTTAAGTGCTATGAAATTAAGTCATAAAACTTCAGAAATAAGTTAGATACTGGGGAATTAGGGCACAGAACTTCAGAATTAACTTAGATCCTATGGAATTATGGCGCAGAGCCTCAAAATAGACTTAGATCCTATGGCATTACGGCCTAGAAGTTCAAAATCGACTTATAGCCTTTGGAGTTAAGGCTCATAAGTTCAGAATTAACTCCATTCCTTGTCATATAAAGGTCTGCTGATCGTGGTCTCAGGGATCTTTCCTTGCCTGATCTTCTTGGCCCTTCGCTGCTCCAGCTCTCCGGCCCTCAGTTCCCTCCTCGGTGCGCAGAGCTGCCTGCTCTGATGCCGTGGGGATGCAGAGGCGCGGACGCGGCGCTGTGTCCAGAGGCACCGGCTGTCGGTGCGGCCGAAGCGCTGCTTGCTCCCGGCTGAGAAGTCTCTGCAGCTGCCTTGGGAGCAGCGACAGCAAGCGGAGCGGTGCGGGCAGGGTTTGCAGCAGCCGAGCTCCCAGGGCCCAGAAGCCCCACAGTCCACGGCCAGCGGCCGCTCCAGGAGCGTGAAGGGAGGCTGCGGATGGAACTGAAGGACTGCGGCTGTTGGCTGGAGAGCCTGCAGGGAGGGAATGGATGGGAAGGCTCAGGATGCGTGCACCTGCCATACCGAAACACTGCTGCGTTTCAGTGCTGCAGAAGAACGCTTATCAACGCCGGTTTAATCGCTGGTTCCTCATGCAGAAACTTACTTGGGAACCCAGGGCTTGGGGCTTGCTGTCCTCCCAATACAAGAAACAGTAATGGTTGAGTGTCCGCTTTCTCTCTCCAAAGGAGCTGAAAAAGTTCCAAATATATCCATGAAAACTACATTCCTGCACAGGCAGGCATCTTTCAATCCACGCTTAAAGCAAAAACCCACGTGTGCCGACCAACTGAACGGAACTGAGAAACTGAACCGAAGCAATGGCAGCTTTAAACAAAATGCTCTCAGGCTGCTGTCTGCAAACAGCCTAGAAGCAGGAATCTGATGGGCAAGAAGGAATTGCCATCACCCAAACCCCTGGAGCTCTCATTCTCCTCTGCCTTGTTCTCCTTTGTCCCATGGCTCTATCTGTGTCGCTGCTTTGGCTCAGTCTGCTCTCTGAGCGCGGAACAATCATCTGTGCTGAAGTCTCAACCCTGAGCTCTGCCTAAATGGGAATCCTAAGAAAAACCTTCACTCGAGATTGAAGAGAAAAGCAACATCAGGAACAGAAGTATTTCACCTTCCCTTAACGCTTACCATCGATGCTGTTCTCCAGGCGTTTAAAACCTTCAGCTCCTGCAGCCTGGTTCTCCATTGCTGCACATACTGATGGACAGCGTTTATCTAAACGTGGCAGAACACAAACATGCTTTTGTTAAGCATGGCTTTTGGTTCATTCTTATTTGGGTCTTTCCCCTTCTTTCTTTCCCCTTCTTTCCCCTTCTTTCTTTCCCTTTCCTTCCTTCCCCTTCTTTCCCCTTCTTTCTTTCCCCTTTTTTCTTTCCCCTTCTTTCTTTTCCCTTCTTTCTTTCTCTTTCTTTCTTTCCCTTTCTTTCTTTCCCCTTCTTTCCTTCCCCTTCTTTCCCCTTCTTTCTTTCCCTTTCCTTCCTTCCCCTTCTTTCCCCTTCTTTCTTTCCCCTTTTTTCTTTCCCCTTCTTTCTTTCCCTTTCCTTCCTTCCCCTTCTTTCCCCTTCTTTCTTTCCCCTTCTTTCTTTCCCTTTCTTTCTTTCCCCTTCTTTCCCTTTCTTTCTTTCCCCTTCTTTCCTTCCCCTTCTTTCCCCTTCTTTCCCCTTTTTCTTTAAAAGGGGGAACAAGAGTGATCTGAGCAACTGCAAGGAAATTTCAAACTGGACAATTCAGGTCTTGCCCCACTTTACGAGCAGAAACTCCTGCTTTGGATAATACGTTTTGTACCTGTATCACTGGTGAGGCCTGTGCCTCAGTTATCAGGAAGAGGCAAGGAGAATCATAGACCTGTTTGAGTCAGGAGGGACCTTTAAAGCCATCTGACCCAACTCCCCTGCAGTGAACAGGGACACCTATGGCCACACCAGGTTGCTCAGTGATGGCAAAGCCTTCAGGCCAGCAGCTCCTGCTGTTTTCTACTCGCTGCACAGAACAGTGAAGGTATGAGGGGCGTTCTCCCCTCGAGTTGGGCATTCGCTGAGTCAAGAGCGGCCACCTGAAGCACAGGAACCACTGCTACCCTGAACGCGTCACAGAAAGCTCAGTTGTTCCAAATACTTACGTAGAGTCCTGTGCCCTTCTTGGCTCTGCAGATGTAATACCCCAGGCGCAGCTCCTCAGGGGAGATCTCTGGAAAGTCTGCAGGGAGGCAAACAATCAGCATGCTCCAAAGGGAATGCAACACAAACACAAAATTGCCCTCTAGAGTTATACAAGAAACTGCCCTTGCTGCACCGCCTGCCACCAGTCAGCTCGACTTGGAGACACAGAAAGGACTCCTGGTGCAACTTCAGGGGTGCACACACAGCAAGGAAATACCGTAACCCAGTGCCCCTACCTGTTGCATCACAAGGCACGTCCTCACCTTGCAGTGCTTCCATTGAGGCACAGCAGTGTGGACAAGGATAGAAATGCAGCCTGAACAGTAGCAGCACTCCTAAAAACGGGACTGACCTGAAACATTAGGCTTGCCCTTCTCAGGACAGTAACATGAAAACATCCACTGTCCAGAAGATTCCCAGGTCACCATGTCTTCTGCTACCCAGTCCCTAGAAAACACAACATGACAGCAAAGGAAGAAATCACACAGTCAGAAGCCACAGGGCAAAAAGCAAAGTCAAACTCAAATAGCCAAAGCCGCGCCAATGAATTCCATAGGACGCTGCTCAGAGGGAACAGCTGAGGAATGCTACAGCTATCTTGAAAGACACAGCAGTCGCTCTGCTGGACACACAGATGTCCGACAAAGCGTTTTACGTGAGTAAATCACATCAGGTCTGGAAGAGAAACAAAACCCCCGTGCTTCCTATGGTCCCCCCCCCACGTCCCACCTTCCATCCCCCCGGAACGCATCCTCTCCATTATCCAGAGGAAGCCAGTAAGCACTTCAGCAGCTCGTTGCGAGCGCTTCCCAGGGGACAGGGCCGTCACTTACACAAGTCTCTGCCGTTCATCTCCGTAGTCACCAGCCGGGTTTGCACCGCTTAATGCAGAGCTCGCTTTCTGCAAGGACGCTGCGCCTTTCTTGCCTGCAGCTCCAACACCGGAGGCACCAGAGAGTCCTGCTCCATCGCGGCTGCCACCCGAGGAGCTCTTTGGGAGCACAGGAGGCTGCACAACGGCTGCAGGAGCGCCCCGTCCTCCTGCAGATCCTCCTTCGTGCTGCAGCTTGGCTGGCGGGAGAAGGTTTGTGTTTCTCCGGGCACGAACAACACGTCCTCCATCGCCTCCAGTGTGCTGGATCACGGCTGCCTGGTTAAGATCGGTGTCTGTCAGGGTAGCATCACCCAATCCTTTTTCAGCTCCTTCCGTGTGCTGGATCACGGGTAGCTGGCTGACGTTTGTACTTGTTGTAGTAGTGCCCCCCCATCCGGCTCCACTTCCTATCGTGTTCTGGAGCGCCGACGGCTGGCTGAGGCTTGTATTTGTCGGAGTAGAATGTCCCGATCCTCCTACTACTCCACTCTTGTGCAGCAGCATGGAGGCCTGGCTAGGATTTGTGTCTGTCTGGTCACGAGATTGAGATCCTCCTACAGCCCCTTCCTTATACAGGGACACGGCTGGGCGGATAGGATTTCTCTTCCTTCGGGTGCTAGCACCACATTCTTCTACAGCTCTTCCCGTGTGCAGCATCACGGGTGGCTGGCTAAGCTTTGTATCTGTCGGTGCAGCATGTCCCGATCCTCCTACAGCTCTTCTCTTGTTCTCGAGCACGGCTCCTCTCTTGTTCTTTAACACGGCTGGATGGATAATGTCTGTATTTCTCGGGGTAGCAGCACCCTGACCTCCTACAGCTCCTTCTGTGAGCTGCACTATGGATAGCTGGCTGAGCATGTTGGTTATCTGATCAATGTCCGCTGATCCTCCTACGGCTCCTCTCTTATCCTGCATCATGGAGGGCTGGCTAAGATCTGTATTTCTCTGAGTGTTTCTGGGGGTTGCACCACCCTGACCTCCCACAGCTCCTCCCTTTTCCTGGATCATGGGTGCTTGGCCATGCTTGGTACTTCTTTGTGTTGTGTCTCCCAATGCTCCTACAGCTCCTTCTGTGAGCTGCACCATGGATAGTTGGCTGAGCATGCTGGTTATCTGATCGATGTCTCCTGATCCTCTCACAGCTCCTCCCTTATCCTGCATCATGGAGGGCTGGCTAAGATTTGTACTTGTCTGAGTGTTTCTGGGGGCAGCAGTACCCCGACCTCCCACAGCTCCTCCCTTGTCCTGGATCATGGAGGGCTGGCTGAGATGTTTATTTATGTGGCTACTGTCCCCCGATGCTCCTACAGCTCCTTCTGTGAGCTGCACCATGGATAGTTGGCTGAGCATGCTGGTTATCTGATCGATGTCTCCTGATCCTCCCACTGATCCTCCCTTATCCTGGATCATGGAGGGCTGGCCAAGGTTTGTACCTGTCTGAGTGTTTCTCATGGTAGCAGCAACCCGACCTCCCACAGCAACCTTTGTGTGCTGCACCATGGGTGCCTGGCCATGCTCTGTATTTCTCTGGGTCATGTCTCCCAGTCCTCCTATAGCTCTTCTCTTGTTCTCAAACACGGCCTCTCTCTTGTTCTCAAACATGGCTTTTCTCTTCTTTGACATGGCTGGCTGGATAATGTGTTTGTTTCTGGGGGTAGCAGCACTCCGACCTCCCTCAGCTCCTCCCTTATCCTGGATCATGGAGGGCTGGCCAAGATCTGTATCTGTCTGAGTGTTTCTCATGGTAGCAGCATCCCGACCTCCTACAGCTCCTTTCGTGTGCTGCACCATGGGTGCCTGGCCATGCTCTGTATTTCTCTGGGTCATGTCTCCCAGTCCTCCTACAGCTCTTCTCTTGTTCTGAAACGTGTCCTCTCTCTTGTTCTCAAACACGGCTTTTCTCTTGTTCTTTGACATGGCAGGCTGGATTATGTGAGTGTTTCTGGGGGTAGAAGCACCCCGACCTCCCTCAGCTCCTCCCTTATGCTGGACCATGGAGGGCTGGCCAAGATTTGTATCTGTCTTAGTGTTTCTGGGGGTAGAAGCACCCCGACCTCCCTCAGCTCCTCCCTTACGCTGGACCATGGAGGGCTGGCCAAGATTTGTATCTGTCTTAGTGTTTCTGGGGGTAGCAGCACCCCGACCTCCATCAGCTCCTCCCTTACGCTGGACCATGGAGGGCTGGCTAACGATAACGGCAGTCTGGGCACTGGCACCCCCTGCTCCTACAGCCCCTCCCACATGCTGCACCATTGTGGGCTGGTTGTGGACTGTGCTTATCTGGTTTCTGGTAGGGCATCTTCCTCCACGTCCTCTCACGCGCTGCAGCACGGATGCCCGGACAGTGTTTCTGTATCTCTGGAAAGTGGAACGCCATCCTCCTCTGGCTCCTCCGACGGAACCTGAAAACAAAGAAGAAAGGATGCAAAGCCATTCGCACAACGCCGACCAAGCCAGCAAGAAGTCTTGGCTGGAGGGCCGGGCTCAGAGAGCAGCGGTGAATGGAGTTAAACCCAGCTGGCAACTGGTCGTGAGCGCTGTGCCCCAGGGCTCGGTGCTGGGCCTGTCCTCCTCAAGATCTTTATTGATGGCCTGGAGGAGGGCATCGAGTGCACCCTCAGTACATTCGCAGATGGCACCAAATGGGCTGGAAGTGTGGATCTGCCAGGGGCTGGCGAGGCCACACAGAGGGATCTGGACAGGCTGGAGAGCTGGGCTGAAGCCCATGGAATGGGTTTCAACAAGGCCAAATGCCGGGTCCTGCGCTTGGGCTACAACAACCCCAGGCGACGCTGCAGGCTTGGGGCGGTGTGGCTGGAGGACAGCGTAGAGGAAATGGACCTGGGGGTATGGATGGATGCTGGGCTGAATATGAGCCCACAGTGTGCCCAAGTGGCCAGGAAGGCCAAGGGCAGCCTGGCCTGCATCAGAAACAGCGCTGCCTTCAGGAGCAGAGAGGTGATTGTGCCCCTGTACTCAGCTCTAGTAAGGCCGCACCTCGAGTGCTGTGTCCAGTTTTGGGCCCCTCACTGCAAGAAAGACGTTGAGGCCCTGGAACGTGTTCAAAGGAGGGCAACAAAGCTGGTGAGGGGTCTGGAGCACAGGGCTGATGAGGAGAGGCTGAAGGAGCTGGGAATGTTCAGCCTGGAGAGGAGGAGCTCAGGGGAGACCTCACTGCTCTCTATGACTGCCTGAAGGGAGGCTGCAGGGAGCTGGGGGTCGGCCTCTGCTCTCGTGTCAGTGATAGGAGCAGAGGGAACGGCTTCAAGCTACGGCAGGGGAGATTCAGGCTGGACATCAGGAAGAATTACTTTTTGGAAAGGGCGGTCTGTCACTGCAATGGATGCCCAGGGAGGTGGCGGAGTCACCGAGCCTGGGGGTGTTGAAGGAAAGACTGGATGTTGTGTTGAGGGACGTGGTTCAGTGGGAGCTGTTGGTAAGAGGTGAGCAGTTGGACTGGATGGGCTTTGAGGTCTTTTCCAACCTTGGTGATTCCTTGATTCTATGATTCTAAGTCGGAAGCAAAACGCGCTCCCGGCGAGTCAGCCCGGGCACGGCCGAAACGCAGCCCCCCCCCGCAGCCCCGCCGCGGCGTCCCCGTGCCCGCAGCGGCTCGCCGGCCGTCCCGCGCGATGGGAGCCGCTCCGCGCAGCCCGACCCCCGCCCGGAGTGGCGGCAGCGCCCGGAACGGTCGCGCACGCAGGGGTCCGGTCTGGCCGGACGGCGCCGGCTATCAGCGGCCGTGCCGCCCGGCAGAGGAGCCCCGAGCCGCTTCCCGACTGCGGCTGCCGGACGCGCGGTCGCAGACGCGGCGCTTCGGGGACGAGCGGCGGCACGGAGCAGAGCGGCGCGGCGCGGCTCCGCACGGCTGCTCCTCCCCCGGCTCCCCGCCGCCCATTCCGTACCTGCGTAGGGGCGCCCCCAGCTGCTGCTGAGCCGCACGCTCCGGCGCTGGTCGCCGAAGCGGCAGCGCCGCCGCAGGATGCGTTGCGAAGCAGACATGGCTGCGAGCCGACCGACTGCTGCCGCCTAATGGCGCCAACCGACAGGCAATAACGGCCGCGTCTCGGGACCCCGCTCTGTGACGTCGCCGAGGGGAGCCGCGCGCTGAGCGGGGGTTGATGGGATAGGGGAGATCTGGGGGGGAATGGGGGGATAGGAGGGGATGAAGAGAGATGGGGGGATATGGGGGGATACGGGTGGGTGGGGGGGATGAGGGGAAATAGGGGGGTATGGGGGGGATGAGGAGAGCTGGAGGGATGTGGGGGGGTGGATGGAATGGGGGCGATATGGGCGGGCAGGGGATGGGGGGAAATAAGGGGACGGAGGGTTTGGGGGGGATTTAAGCGGTATGAGGGGGGGTTGAGAGGGAGAGGGGGGATGGGGGGATGGGGGGGACGGAGGGGAATGGGGGGCAGGGGAGATAAGGGGGATGGGAAGGATATGTGGGGGTCATAAGGGTGGGGAGGGATGGGGGGATGCAGCATACGGGGGGAGTAAGGGGCATAGGGGGAATAAGGGGGGATATGGAGGGATAGGAGGATTTGGGGGGTGGGGGGAGAAAGGGGAAATGGGGGGGATATGAGGGGGTACGGTGGGGTGGGGTGCTATAGGGTGAATGGGGAGATATGGGGGGGTGAGGGGGAATATGGGGAAAAACAGGGGATTTGGGGGGTAGGGGAGATATGGGGGCATAGGAGGGGATGAAGAGAGATGGGGGGATGGAGGGAAATATGGCGGGAGAATGGGGGGGGTGCAGGGGATTTGGGGGGATATGGGAGGGGAGGGGGGATATGGAGGGGCATGGGTGGACGAGGGGGCAGTGTGCCGGAATGAGGGGAAATGGGGGACATGGGGGATAGGGGAGACATGGGGGGGTATGGGGGCTCGGGGGAATGGGGGGATGCAGAGTATGGGGGGGTATGGGAGGATAAGGAGAATAAGGGAGGGTATGGGGGGACGTGGAGGGAACGGGGGGATGGCGGAGATTTGGGGGGATGGTGGAGATGGGGGGGAGAAGGGGGGTGGTGGATCAGAGTTGGAGCCATGTGCACACAGTTATTTCCAATGGCATTCATTAAAGTTCAGTGTCAGCTCTTCCAGGATTTCAGGAGTCGAAAGATGCGTAGATAAAAAATGCGTAGATAAAAAGCGGCCCTCCTGTGCGCTCACTGTGATGAACCTAATTATCCTCCCAGGGCCACGGGAGCAGCAAACTGTCCTGAGCAATGAAATCAAGCACCTGATTGCCGGTACTGCCACTGAAATGTGGAGGTTGGTTCAGAGACACGAGTGTGACTTCAGGGGCAGTGAGATCAAGCAGCCCTAGCGTGCAACCAAACAGACTTTGCTGCTCAATTCAAGCCACATTCCATTTCTGAACAGCCAGACTAACAGCATTTCTTTCTTTATGGCGGAGTCCAACCGAGGAGCGAAATGCACAGCTGTATGTGCAGCACTGAGCAGAGTGGGAGGTTCAGGGCATGGAGTACACAGCTTTCAAAGCCCATCGAATTGAAGCGCAGTCACAAACTGCACATCTGCTCTGCTTTGCCAGCTTACATCCCAGGCTGTATTTTTAATGGCAGTCGCCAGATCCTTTCAGAAAACATCTCACACCACTCCAGCTGTGGTGAAGCCGTGATGGCCAGCGGTTCTTGTAAGCTCATTTTGTTGGGCATCTCTGCAATGCTTCTCCTGCCTGCAGTCCGAAGCGCGGAGACTCAGGGAGGTGCAGGCACTGCAATGCCAGCAGCCAGTGCTCAACCCACCTCACTGTCCACTCGTCTGTCCCACAGCTTTGTTACAAGGATGTGGTGGGGGACAGCATCAAAAGCCTTGCTGAAATCAAGGTAGTCTACATCCACTGCTCTCCCCCCATCCACCCAGCCAGAGACAACAGCACAGAAGGCCACCAGGTTGGTGGAGCACGACCTCCCCCTGGTGAACCCGTGCCGACTGCTCCTCATCACCTCCTTTTCTTCCAGTTTAAATTCCAGCTTAAACCCTCAACCACAGCCCCCAAGGACCCCCCCCGCCCCACGTAGGACCCCCACACCCCCCTCCACCCCACACAGAGGATCTCAGTGCCCCTCCAGGACCCACCATCCTCTACACAGCCCCCCAAATTAACCCCCCAGGGACACTTCGTTATGCTGCCCTGTCCCCCCCCCCCGCCCCCCAAGAGACCCAAATGTCCTCAACCACCACCCCCCAAGGACCGCCCCCACCCCACGTAGGACCCCACATCCTCTCCACACCCCCTTCCACCCCACACAGAGCTTTGTGGGCCTCAGTGCCCCTCCAGCCCCCCAAATTAACCCCCCAGGGACACTTTGATCCCACCCCCCTCCTCCCCCCCTAAAAAAAAAAAAACCACGACGACACCCCCCCCACCACAGATGCCATCATTGACGTGGGCAGAGGGGATGTTCTGGGGTCGGTACCCAGCGTTGGTGCAGTGGAAATGGCCATTGGGGCAGGCGGACGTCCCTGAGGTGGGGGGAAGGGGGGAAGTCAGGGAGGACAACCCCCAGGAGGGGGGGGGAGCAGGGCAGGGGGGCACAAAATTGTGGGGGGGGCACAGGGTGTGGGGGGGAGGCAGAGGATGGGGGGAGGGGAGGGCTAAGGGTGTGTGGGGGGGGTGAAGGGTGGAGAGGGGGAGCGCCAAGGGTGTGGGGGGGTGCAAAGGGTGTGCGTGTGTGGGGGGGAGCGAAGGGTGGGGTGGGGGTGAAGGGTGGGAAGGTGCAAAGGGATTGGGGGAGTTGGAAGGTGAGGGGGGGCACAGGGAGGGTGAGCACAAAATTGTGTCTGGGGGGGGCACAGGGTGTGGGGGGAGGGGGGGCCAAGGGTGTTAAGGGGGCCCAAGGGTGCGGGGGTGGAGAAGGGTCGATGGGAGGGGGGGCAAGGGTGGGGGGGGTTGGAAGGTGAGGGGGGGCACAGCGCATCAGGGGGGTGCAGGGCGGGTGGGCACAAAACTGGGGAGGGGGGGCACAGGGTGTGGGGGGGATCAGCAGGAGAAAGGGGGGCAAGGGGGGCACACGGCATTGGGGGGGTGCAGGGTGAAGGGGGGTGCGGGGAACACAGAGTGTGAGAGGAGAAAAATTCGGGGGGGGGGGGGGGGGCACAGGGTGTGGGGGGGCCACCCAGGGGGGTTCCCTCATTTTGGGGATGGGGTCGCAGCCCCTGCAGACCGCTTCGGGGAGGGCTCACCAGGTTCGTCAGAGCCGTCGCGACAGTCGCAATCGTCGCCACTGACCCACTTGAAGGCGGTGGTGGAGGAACCGTCCAGGCAGGTGAAAGGCTGGGATTCCTCATAGAAGTGATGGTCTGGGGAGGGGGGGGGTCAAGGGGGGGTGCCCTCACGTGGGGGGAGGTCTAGGGGGCCCGGGGGGGGCAGCAGAGGAGCGGGGGGGGTCACTCACTGCTCAGTGAGACGCCGCAGGGCCGCGTCACCTCCACAGCATCCGGGGGGGGGGCAGCAGCAGGGGCAGCAGCAAGGAAGGAGGGCTGGGGTGGAAAAGGGCAGGGGGGGCTGGAATATATACCCCCCCCCCTTCCCCCCGCCCACTGGCCCCCCCAGCCCCACAGACCCCCAGCTCCCTATAGATGCTCCACAGCTTCTCACAGACCACCCTGGAGATATTTAAAGCCACCCCCCCCCACAAAGGTTCCCTACAGGGCTCCTGCTGCTCCCCCTACGAAGCCCCAGTGCCACCCCATACAGACCCCCACAGACCCCCACACCACCTCCACCCCACACAAACCTTTGGGGGTCTCTCAGTGCCCCTCTAGGAACCCCCATCTCCTACACAGCCCCCAAAGCACCGCCCCTAGAGACAGATGGTGCCCCCCCCCCCCCACAATGAGACCCCCCCAATACCCTCAACCACCACCCCCCAAGGACCCCCCCCCACCCCACATAGGACCCCACATCCTCTCCACACCCCCCTCCACCCCACACAGAACTTTGAGGGCCTCAGTGCCCCCCCAGGCCCCCCAATCCCCTACAGCGCCCCCAAATTAACCCCCCAGGGACACTTTGATCCCACACCCCCCCTCCTCCCCCCTAAAAAACACCCCACAACGACCCCCTCACTCACCACAGACACCATCACTGACGTGGGCAGAGGAATGACGCCGCAGGGCCTGGTCACCTCCACAGCATCCGGGGGGGCCAGCAGCAGGGGCAGCAGCATGGAAGGAAGGCTGGGGTGGAAAGGGCAGGGGGGGCTGGAATCTATAACCCCCCCCCTTACTCGCCCCCCCCAGCCCCACAGACCCTCGGCTCCCTATAGATGTTCCCTGGCTTCTCACAGATCGCCCCGGGGATATTTAAACCCACCTCCACCCCCCCCCCCCCCCCCCCACATTTCCCTATAGGGCTCCTGCTGCTCCCCCTACAAAGCCCCAATGCCCCCCCCCATACAGATCCCTCCCCATACAGAACCCCCATGCAGACCCCTCCCCATACAGCCCCCCCCCGACCTTCCCCCCCATAGAGACCCCCCCCACGCAGACCCCCTCCATATCCCTTGCAGACCCCCCCATACAGGCCCCCTCCCCAATACAGACCCCCTCCCCAGCTTCCCCCCCATACAGACCCCTTTCATACAAACCCCCTCCCCACGTCCCCATACAAATCTCTTCCCCATATCCCCATACAGACCAGACCAGCCCCATAAAGACCCCCCCAGATGTCCCCATGCAGATCCCCCCATACAGACCCCCCCACGCAGACCCCCTCCCCATACAGACCCCATTCATGGCCCTATACAGACCCCCCCATGTCCCCATGCAGACCCCCCCCCCATACAAAACCCCCCACGCAGTGGCATTCTTCCTTCTTGCCCTTTTTGAAGACCGCAGTGACATTGGCTCTCCTCCACTCTTCAGGCACCTCCCAGTCCTCCAACACCTCCCAAAGACACCGAAAGCGGCTCAGCAATCACCTCCACCAGCTCCCTCCGCTCCCATGGATGCATCCCATCGGCTCCCATGGATTGGTGAACATTGCTGCTGCCTGGGCGCTCCCGGACCACCTCTTCCCTGACTGCAGGGAGGTCTTCCATTCCCCAGAGCCTCTCACTCACCTCCAGGGTCTCGGGTTCCTGAGGGGGAGCTTAAACCCTCAACCACAGCCCCCAGGAACCCCCCCCGCCCCACATAGGACCCCACATCCTCTCCACACCCCCTTCCACCCCACACAGAGCTTTGTGGGCCTCAGTGCCCCTCCAGCCCCCCAAGTTAACCCCCCAGGGACACTTTGATCCCACCCCCTCCACCCACCCCCAAAATAAACCCCCCCCCCCCACCACAGATGCCATCATTGACGTGGGCAGAGGGGGATGTTCTGGGGTCGGTACCCAGCGTTGGTGCAGTGGAAATGGCCACTGGGGCAGGCTGAGGTCCCTGAGGTGGGGGGGAAGAGGGGGGGGCAGGGAAGACAACCCCCAGGAGGAGGGAGAGCAGGGCAGGGGGGGTACAAAATTGTGGGGTGGGACATGGTGTGGGGGAGAGGCAGAGGACGGGGGGAGGGGAGGGCTAAGGGTGTGTGGGGGGGTGAAGGGTAGAGAGGGGGGTGAAGAGTAGAGAGGGGGGGCGCCAAGGGTGTGGTGGGGGGGTGCAAAGGGTGTGTGTGGGGGGGGGAGCGAAGGGTGGGGTGGGGGTGAAGGGTGGGGGGGTGCAAAGGGATTGGGGGAGTTGGAAGGTGAGGGGGGGCACAGGGCGGGTGAGCACAAAATTGTGTGTGGGGGGGGCACAGGGTGTGGGGTGGGACACGGTGTGGGGGGAGGGGAGGCAAGGGTGTGGGGCCAAGGGTGTTGGGGGGGCCCAAGGGCGTGAGGGTGGAGAAGGGTCGAGGGGAGGGGGGGCAAGGGTGGGGGGGGTTGGAAGGTAAGGGGGGGCACAGCGCATCAGGGGGGTGCAGGGCGGGTGGGCACAAAATTGGGGAGGGGGGGCACAGGGTGTGGAGGGGATCATCAGGAGAAAGGGGGGCATGGGGGGCACACGGCATTGGGGGCTGCAGGGTGAAGGGGGGTGCGGGGAACACAGAGTGTGAGAGGAGAAAAATTCGGGGGGGGGGGGGGGGGGCACGGGGTGTGGGGGGGCCACCCAGGGGGGTTCCCTCATTTTGGGGATGGGGTTGCAGCCCCTGCAGACCGCTTCGGGGGGGGCTCACCAGGTTCGTCAGAGCCGTCGCGACAGTCGCAATCGTCGTCATTGACCCACTTGAAGGCGGTGGTGGAGGAACCGTCCAGGCAGGTGAAAGGCTGGGATTCCTCATAGAAGTGATGGCCTGGGGAGGCGGGGGTTAAGGGGGGATGCCCTCATGTGGGGGGAGGTCTAGGGGGTCCGGGGGGGGCAGCAGGAGAGCGGGGAGGGTCACTCACTGCTCAGTGAGACGCCGCAGGGCCGCGTCACCTCCACAGCATCCGGGGGGGGGGCAGCAGCAGGGGCAGCAGCATGGAAGGGGGGCTGGGGTGGAAAAGGGGAGGGGGCGCTGGAATCTATAACCCCCCCCCCCTCTCCCACTGGCCCCCCCAGCCCCACAGACCCCCAGCTCCCTACAGATGCCCCTCAGCTTCTCACAGATCACTCTGGGGATATTTAAAGCCACCCTCCCCCCCCCCCACAAGGTTCCCTATAGGACTCCTGCGGCTCCCCCTACAAAGCCCCAGTGCCCCCCCCACACAGACCCTCCCATACAGACCCCCCCCAGGCCTTCCCCCCCCTACGGACCCCCTCCCCAATACAGACCCCCTCCACGTTCCCATGCAGAACCCCCCCAGAGCTTCCCCCCCATACAGACCCCCCTATACAAATCCCCTCCTCACGTCCCCATACAAATCCCTCCCCCATATCCCCATACAGACTAGACTAGCCCCATAAAGACCCCTCCCATGGCCCCATGCAGACCCCCCCATACAGACCCCTCCCACATCCCCATACAGACTCCCCCCATACAGACCCCCTCCCCATACAGACCCCATTCATGGCCCTACACAGACCCCCCCATTTCCCCATGCAGACCCCCCCCGCAAAAAATGCCCCCCCCCCCCGCAGATCCCCCATACAAACCCCTCAACCCCTGCAGACGCCTTCCAGGCAGGTGAAAGGCTTGGATTCCTCACAAGTGATGGTCTGGGGGGGAGGGTTAAGGGGGGGTGTCCTCATGTGGTGGGGCTCGGTGGGGGGGGGATCATTCACTGCTCAGTGAGACACCGCGGGGCCGCATCACCTCCACAGCATCCGGAGGGGGCACAGCAGCAGGGGCTGCTGGGGTGGAAAAAGGGAGAGGGGGCTGGAATCTATAACTCCCGCCTTACTGCACCCCCCCAGCCCCACAGACCCCCAGCTCCCTATAGATGCTCGTTGGCTTCTCACAGATCGCCCCAGAGATATTTAAAGCCCCCCCCCCCCCAACAAGGTTCCCTATAGGGCTCCTGCTGCTCCCCCTACAAAGCCCCAGCGCCCCCCCCATACAAATCTCTCGTCATACAGCCCCCCCCAGACCTTCCCCCCCATACAGACCCCCCCCACGCAGACCCCCTCCATATCCCCATGCAGAACCCCCATACAGACCCCCTCCCCAATACAGACTCCCTCCCCAGCTTCCCCCCCATACAGACCCCCTTCATCCAAACTCCCACCCCATGTCCCCATACAAATCCCTTCCCCATATCCCCATACAGACCAGTCCAGACCCATAAAGACCCACCCATGTCCCCAAGCAGACCCCCCCCATACAGACCCTTCCCACATCCCCATACAGACTCCCCCCATACAGACCCCATTCATGGCCCTATACAGACCCCCCTACGTCCCCATGCAGACCCCCCCCCCCCCCATACAAAAGCCCCCACGCAGACCTCCCATACAGACCCCTCAGCCCCCTGCACACCCCCCCGCTTCCCCCCAGTTCCTCATCTGCCCCCTTCAGACCACGTGACCCTACACAGACCCCTCAGACTCAACCAAATCGCCACCGAAACCCCCACAGACCTCCCCCCCATCCCCTATAGCCCCCTCCCCAAGACCCCTCCTCCTTCAAGGCCCCCCCAGGTCCTCCACGTCCCCATGCAGACCCCCCCCCATACAAAACCCCCCCATGCAGACCCCCCATACAGACCCCCTCTGCGCCCCCTACAGACCCCTCAGCCCCCTGCAGACCCTCCCGCTCCCCCCAGTGCCCCATCTCACCCCTTCAGACCACGTGACCCCTACAGACCTCCCCCATCCCCTATAGCCCCCTCCCCAAGACCCCTCCCCCTTCAAGGCCTCTCCAGGTACCCTACAAACCTTCCCCGATGGAGCCACCCCACAGTCCGCCTCCTCCCCATACAGGCCCATATTGGCCCCCTGCTTCACCCTACAGACCCTGAAACTCCCCAAGACCCCCCTTGCCACCCCAAGACACCCCACCCCCACACAGCGCCCTCAAATCCCCACAGACGCCCCCAAACCCCCTCAAACACCCCCCAAAAGCCCTACAGACCCCCACCCCTCACCCTCAGACCCCTATAGAGCCCCCAAACCCCTTCCAGGCCTCCAGTACCCGCGGACGCCCACCGTACCACACAGATGGACGCTCGCGGTGGGTGCACAGCCCACACGCCGGGAGCGGAAGTCAAGGAACGGAAGTTCCGGGCGTGCGCCGTTCTCCCGGAAGTACCGTCCCGGAGACGCGGCCGCCATGTTGGATGTGACAACACCGCCTGTCTGCGCGCGGGGAGCGGCGGCCATATTGAGTGTGGCGGCGGCGGTCAGCCAATGGGAGCGAAGCGTTTGGTTGCCGTAGCGACAGGAAGAACGCGTGGAAGCAGAGCGGCACGTGTGTGTGTGCGGGGGGAGGGGGCGAATTTGGGGTTCGAGGGGGGAGCACTGAGATTCCGGGGGGGGGGAGGGTCTTAGGATGGGGGAGGGGGGGCTGCAGAACACATTGGGGGGAGGATTGGAGAATCCCGTGGGGGGGGGGCGGTGGAGGCAAGGAGGATTGAACTGGGGAGGGAGGAATTTGGGATGGGGGGATTTGGAGGTCGGGCGGGGGGCTGAAGACCCCCCTATGGGGAGGTGGGGGCAGCATATTAGGGATGGGGGAGTTGTCTATAAGGGGGGGGTCTGACCACCCTATTGACCCCCCATGCAGGTTTAACGCCCCCCCCCCCGCCATGGGCACCCCCCACATCCCAACCCTTTGGCAGGGACAGAAGCACGGTGCAGGTAATGGAGTGCGGGGGAGACAAATTGGGGAGGGTACAACTGATGTCCTTGACCCCCCTCCTGTGCCCCCCCCCCCTCATTTTAGAGACCCCCGAGGAACAGAGGTGGTGGCTGAAGGCTGAGATGCGGCGGCTGCAGCACGACACAGCGCGGGCCACGGATGTGAGGACACCCCCTGTCCCCCCCTCTCCAGAAGTGGTCTGCAGGGACTTCGACACCATCCCCAAAATGGGGGAACCCCCCCTCACACACACCCTGTTCTCCCCTCCGAAAGCTCTGTGCCCCCCCCACCGAATTTTGCCCCTCCCCCCCCCACCTGCTCACCCCTGCATTCCCTGTGACCCCCCCCACTCTGTGACCCTCCCCACACCCTCTGCCCCCCCCGGGCTTTTTGCCCCCCCTCCCCCACCGTGTTCCACCCCACACCCTGTGCCCCCCCAGTTTTGTGCCCCCACGCCCTGCAGCTTCCCGAAGCCCTGTGCCCCCCCCACCTTCTGATCCCCCATTCCCTTGAGTGGGGCGGAGGGATCCGCAGATCCGTGCCTCCGCAAAAAAAAGGAAACAGGGGACCCCAAAATAATTAGAAACAGTGGCACCGATCTGAGGAGAAACAAACTAATTCACTAAGTGTATTATCGGAATGCAAGAGAACACACTATAATACAATATAATCAGAATGGAAGCTAATGAATCAAATATAATGAGAGAGAGAATGTGCGAAAGGTGGACAGGCCTCAGCACAAGGCTGAGGTGAGATGCGCAGTGCAGTTGAGCAGCGGGGAGACGGGAGCAGCGCCCACGACGAAGGGCAGGCGAGAAAGAGCATCAGGAGACCTTGCCAGGAGTTCAACCTCCTCGCCCTGAGCGCAAGGTCCCCTGGGGAATGCAGTTCTTCTCTTCTGGGCAGGTACCCAGGACTTGAGCACTGACAGTGAAAGTCCCAGTGCCCCACACGATGGTATGATGTGGAATACCGAAAGGCAAAACTCACAAAGCCACGACGCTGTCCTGACAGCTGCTTCTGCTGTCACAACTACTTGGAACGGTCCTTCGCAGTCGGGTTGCAGCTTTGCCTCCTTGGTCTGGATGAGCACCCAGCCTCCAGGTTGGGATGGATGAATGGGAAATTGCAGAGGTGACGATTGTGCCAGCAGTCCTCGGGTCCTGAGAGAGGACAGTGAGGAAGACAGTTCGAGTCTGCGGTTCTTAAGGAACACATCTTGAGTTTCAAACTGCGGTACCTCATTTTTCTTTCCCAGATATGGGAACCCGAATAACATTTCCTATGGAGAAACCCCCACAGCCTGTCTTGGTGCTGTACGGATTCGGAGAAGTGCCAGAGGCAAGCATTTGGTCCAACGGAGCCGAGTCTCTACGGCCAACTTGTGAGGAGCTTCTGTATTCTCTGACTCGTTCTTTCTGCTTTTCCTGATGACGGCAGGTGCCGGGGGTATGAAATTCCCCTTTAATCCCTGAAGCGTGCATTAGTTTCTGTAATGTGTGTGAAGTGAAATGACTGCCTTGGTCTGAATCTACATATCCTACCCCTCCATACCTAGGGATTATGTGTTCCAAAATCACCTTGGCCACCACATTTGCAGTGGCAGATACTGACGGAAATGCTTCTGCCCACCACTTCAATGCTCTGCTGACACGAACGAGTCTTGATTTTCCCTGCATTCGGGAGTTATGTAGAATCTGCTTGAGTACTTTGGAATGGTCGAATCCCCGGCTCTCTTTCCCCTTCAGGCTGGTGTCTGATAGCCTTATTATTCACTTTCTGGCACGCTACACATCCCCTACAGACCTGCTTAGCCAGAGTATATAGCCCTATATATCCCTGTGCTTACGTATTTCCGCAGCACAGCATCACACAGGGCTTGTACTCCCCAATGACTGCCTTGATGCAGGGTGATTAAAATTTCTCTTGTCACTGCCTTGTTTAATATTCTCTCCCATCTGAAATGATCCACCTTCCCTCGGACTCCGTGGCCCCTAAGTTCCTAAGGGTTTCCTTTTCTTTACTGAGAATTTGTTTTGGGGGAGGAGGTGGTACCTCGGGCACAAGATGGTTCATAGTAATGTTGCTTGTAGAGCAGCCTCACGGGCTGTTTTATCTGCTGCTCGGTTGCCTTGGGCAATGATTGAATTCCCCTCTGGTGACCTCTGACATGCACTATTGCAATTTCAGTGGTAGCAGTAAATCTTCTAGGACTTCACAGAGTTATCACAGAATTGTAGGGGTTGGAAGGGACCTCCAGAGCTCATCAAGTCCAACCCCCTGCCAAAGCAGGTTCCCTACAGCAGGTCGCACAGGTCGGCATCCAGGCAGGTCTTGAACATCTCCAGAGCAGGAGACTCCACCACCTCTCTGCAGCCTGTTCCAGTGCTCCTCACCTCACTGTACAGAACTTGTTGTACACATTGGTGTGGAACTTCCTATGCTGCAGTTTCCAGCCATTTCCCTTTGTCCTGTCTCCACTCACCACTGAAAAGAGTCCGGCCTCGCCATTCTGCCCCCCACACCTTAGATATTTATAGACCTGGATCAGCTCCCCCCTCAGTCTTCTTTTCTCAAGGCTGAACAGACCCAGTTCACTCAGCCTTTCCTCATAGCAGAGATGCTCCAGGCCCCTCCCCATCTTGGTGGCCCTCTGCTGGACTCTTCCCAAGAGCTCCCTGTCTGTTTTGTACTGGGGAGCCCAGAACTGGACGCAGTGCTCCAGATGAGGCTTTACCAGGGCAGAGCAGAGGGGGAGGATCACCTCCCTCGGCCTGCTGGCCACGCTCTTTGCAATGCACCCCAGGATGCCATTGGCCCTCTTGGCCACAAGGGCACACTGCTGGCTCATGGCAACCTGTCGTCCACCAGGACACCCAGGTCCCTCTCCGCAGAGCTCCTCTCCAGCAGCTCATCCCCCAACCTGTACCGCTGCATGCAATTATTCCTCCCCAGATGTAAGACTCTACACTTGCTTTTGTTAAACCTCATCCGGTTTTTTACTGCCCAGCTCTCCAGCCTGTCCAGGTCTCGCTGAATGGCAGCACATGGACTTCAAGGTGGAAGGTATTGGGGGGGGCAGGCTGTTGTGTGAAGGGGGAGGTGATTTGTGAAAAGGGGGCTGTTGTGCAAAGGGGATGTGAAAGGGGGGGTTGTTGTGCAAAGGGGGGAGGGGGTCGTGAAAAGGGGGCTGTTGTGCAAGGGGAGGCAGTTGTGCAAGAGGGGTCTTAAAGGGGGGGTGATTGTGCAAAGGGGGGAGAGTGGGGAGTTGGTTGTGAAAAGGGTGGGCAGTTATGCAAAGGAGGGGAGGTGGTTGTGAAAGTGGGGGTTGTGGAAAGGGTGGGTTGTGGTTGTGTAAAGGGGGCAGTTGTGCAAGTGGGGGTTGTGCAAAGGGGGGTCATCGTGCAAAGGGGATCGTCGTGCAAAGGGGAGCAGTTGTGCAAAGAAAAGGGGGGCGGTTGCAAAGAGGGACCCTGATTGTGCAAAGGGGGGAACTGGTTGTGAAAAGGGGGCTGTTGTGCAAAGGTGGGGGGGAGTCGCTGTGAAAGGGGGTGGTTGTGCAAAGGAGAGGTAGGTGATTGTGAAAGGGGGGCAGTTGTGCAAGGGGGGGCTGTAAAGAGGGGGTTATCGTGCAAAGTGGGGCAGGTGGTCGTGAAAAGGGGGGATGCTTGTGCAAACTGGGGAGAGTGGGGAGTTGGTTGTGAAAGAAGGGCAGTTGTGCAAAGGGGGTGGTTGTGCAAAAGGAGCGTGCAAATGGGGCAGTTGTGCAAGGGGAGTGCTGGTGCAAGGGAGAGGTGTGGAAGGGGGCATGCGTGTGCAAGGGGGGATGTGAGCGTGTGAGGGGGGTTGTGCAAAGGGGGGTGTGCAAAAGGGGTGGTCGTGCTTGAAGAGTGTGCAAGGGGGACTTGTGCAAGGGGAGGAAGCAAGGGGGCACTTGTGCAAGGGAAAGCGTGCAAGAGGAGAGCGTTCCTGTGAGGGTGAAGTGTGCAATGGGAAGCGTGGAGAGGGGCTGCTTGTGCAAAGGAAAAGAAGTGTGCCGGGGGGGGGGGGGGGAATTGTGCAAGGGGGGTGCAGTCGTGCAAGGGGATGCTTGTGTGAGGGAGGAGTGTGCAAGGGGGGCACTTATGCAAGGGGGAGCCACACATGGAGGGGGAGAATGCAAAGGGGAGTGCTGGTGCAAGGGGATTTATTGTGCAAGGGGAAGAGCTCGTGTGAAAATGCTTGTGCAAGGGCTGGGGTGGTGAGAGGCCCTGTGCTTGTGCAACTGTTGTGCAAAAGGGGGGGCGGGGGCATCGTGTCCTGTGCACCCCCTCGTGCAAAGCCCACGTGCACAACCCTCATGCAACCCCCTTGTGAACAATCCTTGTACAACCCCTCATGCAAACCCCATGTGCACAACGCTTGTGCACAACCCTCGTGCAAAACCCGTCGTGCAAACCCCACGCTCACACCCTCGTGCAACCCCCTGTGCCCAACCCTCACCCACAACCCTCGTGCAAAACCCCACGCTAACACTCTAGTG